TTCTCGATTCAAAAATCCAATGACAAATTTTTTTTCAAATTTGAGAATGCACTTTTGTTGCGGAGCTCGGTTTAACAACTCAAGAGTTGTAAATATAGAAAGCCAAAATAAAGAAAAAGGTTGCAAATTGTTTTGTCTGTAATCTTAAGGTCGCAGCAGGTAGTTTTGCAAATTAAAACAAGAGTGCAATAATTTGGTTATGACCACGGTTCTTACACCAAGATTTACGAGACTTACGAATTCAAATATGTTTGACGTGAAAGTTTTGAACTTGAAAAGCAAATTTTCAAATACTCGCCATTTTGGAAAGCTTGTCATGTTATTTTCATTAACAGTATTGTTCTCTCGTACAGAAAGTTTTGAATTTCAGTTGGAAACTATTTGGAGAAATTTTATTAAGAACCTCAAGTTTAAAATTTAAGCTCAACAGATTTAGTACGAGAGGGTTCAATGCTATCTTTGGCGGGAATTTTTTAAACATCAGAGAGAAATCTTAAGGGGCACTTTTTTAAAATTTCTGAGAAAATTTGCCAGGGGAAACTTTGTGCAAATTCACCCAAATTTTCCCGCCAAAAGTCTTTTTGAGCATTTTTTTGTCGACACCTTTCAATCACATAGCTAACCTTTAAAAAGTGAATGGAATAATAAAAGTGATATTCAAAAATAGACACTTTACATCGCTGTTTGACTATTTTATTGAACAAAGGTGGATAAAAGATGAGACACGCACATTGAACATAGCTTTTTATTGACAACACAATATATATTACTAATGAGAATGATCAAAAAAGAATTCAGATTTTCTTTTTTTAAAAAAAATTTGGCGCATGCGTATTTGAAAGCGCCGTATATTTTCTAAGTCTTTTGGCAGGAAAATTTAAATATTTCCAAACAGATGTTATAGAGAAGCAAATTTTAAAACCTAGCACATGCGTATTTTGGCGGGAAATTTGAAACTCAATGAACGGAGTTTTATTAAAGAACAATTTGAGAAAAAAGTGAAAAACAACACATTGTATTCAAGATGGCGTAATCTGGTATGAAAGTTCGGTAAACCACCGCACTTGAATTACTTGAGTTCAAAAAGGGCAACTGTCTTAGCGATAACTGCTGCTGACACCAAGGGGGTCACTTGCTTGTACCTTACTTTTGCAAGGTACAAGCAAAAGAATGTCCCTGGAAATCCGACTGTTGCTTGCTTGACACCAGTAAAACATCCTGGAAGAAAAAATGGGACAGCCGAATTGAATAACATTGCACAAATATTACGAGTAATGGCTGTTTCTTCGACAACAACAACAGCTTTATTATCAAAAATAAAAGTTAAACCTAATTCACAGCGTAATCTAGTAATACAGGAGAGGTAACATTTACTCAGAATAACTAAAGAGCTAATCGAGCTGGAAAACAAATGCAAATTTCCTGAAATTGCACTTAATCTTTAGTTCTAGAACACCTTGGTGTTAACAACAGTGGAAGAGACACATAACAACTTGCTTAAATCTCAAATGTTAACATTATAGTTCTTTTTATTATTCGTCATTCACTAAAAAGTTCTGAATATCATACTTAAATTTTTTTCAAGCAACTACAAAATTACTGTTTGCCTGTTTTGGCAAGAGAAGAATCGAAAAGATTTCTCTATGAACTATACTATTCTAATACAAAGCCGCAATCCCAAGATAATCTATTGTTTTTGCCATTTTACTTTTTCATTTAAGAACTGTATGCATAATGTACCTATGGCGGACCCAGGGGTGGTTCGGATGGTTCGGTCGAACCCCCCCCCCCCCTAAATTTTCCCTCAGAACGCTGGAAATCATGTTTCCGAAGACCTAATTTTCAAAATCTCGGACCCCTCCGGAGGGGGACAATTCTCCGAACCCCCCTCGGAGCCCCCTTGACTAAATCTTGGATCCGCCCCAGTCTATGTAGGGGTTACATGGGAATCTTGCACATTTACTTCAACACCTTTTTATTAACATTTTTAACTTTGCATTAGCTTCCCTTAAAATTCAGCAATATCTTGCGAAGAGTGAATATTTAAGTTACTATGGTTGTTTAGTACTTTTTGTGAGTAAAAATGTAATTGTGAGGCTTCCAGAATAGCTGCATGCCAGAATGCGAAATCTAGAACTGCAATTTTTTTCCATACTTTTCCCTACTTTTCCAATACTTGAAGTGCAATTTTTTTCCAGCCTCGTCAGCGAAGAGAACATGTTTCAGTAATCCGTAATAAAACGGCTAAATTCTTACAAGCAGGCATGATGCAGGCCGATTTTCCTTTCAGAATTCTAAGACAGCTTGCGATGAAGCAAACCGTTTTGTTACTGAACTAGCAAGTCACCTTTGTCTCCTATTTATGTTCAAACATATATTAATTATTGTTTAAACAAACTTCTAATTGAGATAGAATAAATATATGAAAATCATATATTTTGAACTGCGGTATTTGATACGTATGATGGACGATCCTCGCAGTAGATAGCGCTATTTGAGCAATAGCGAAATTCAGACCTGAAAAAAATCAGGCCTGTACGGGACTCGAACCACTGACCTCTGCGATACTAGTGCAGCGCTCTAACCAATTGAGCTAACAAGCCAACTGAGAGCAGGCCGTTAAGTTGATTCGTAATGAACCCGTGAAAGTGATAAATGAGATAGAATAAATATATGAAAATCATATATTTTGAACTGCGGTATTTGATACGTATGATGGACGATCCTCGCAGTAGATAGCGCTATTTGAGCAATAGCGAAATTCAGACCTGAAAAAAATCAGGCCTGTACGGGACTCGAACCACTGACCTCTGCGATACTAGTGCAGCGCTCTAACCAATTGAGCTAACAAGCCAACTGAGAGCAGGCCGTTAAGTTGATTCGTAATGAACCCGTGAAAGTGATAAATGAGATAGAATAAATATATGAAAATCATATATTTTGAACTGCGGTATTTGATACGTATGATGGACGATCCTCGCAGTAGATAGCGCTATTTGAGCAATAGCGAAATTCAGACCTGAAAAAAATCAGGCCTGTACGGGACTCGAACCACTGACCTCTGCGATACTAGTGCAGCGCTCTAACCAATTGAGCTAACAAGCCAACTGAGAGCAGGCCGTTAAGTTGATTCGTAATGAACCCGTGAAAGTGATAAATGAGATAGAATAAATATATGAAAATCATATATTTTGAACTGCGGTATTTGATACGTATGATGGACGATCCTCGCAGTAGATAGCGCTATTTGAGCAATAGCGAAATTCAGACCTGAAAAAAATCAGGCCTGTACGGGACTCGAACCACTGACCTCTGCGATACTAGTGCAGCGCTCTAACCAATTGAGCTAACAAGCCAACTGAGAGCAGGCCGTTAAGTTGATTCGTAATGAACCCGTGAAAGTGATAAATGAGATAGAATAAATATATGAAAATCATATATTTTGAACTGCGGTATTTGATACGTATGATGGACGATCCTCGCAGTAGATAGCGCTATTTGAGCAATAGCGAAATTCAGACCTGAAAAAAATCAGGCCTGTACGGGACTCGAACCACTGACCTCTGCGATACTAGTGCAGCGCTCTAACCAATTGAGCTAACAAGCCAACTGAGAGCAGGCCGTTAAGTTGATTCGTAATGAACCCGTGAAAGTGATAAATGAGATAGAATAAATATATGAAAATCATATATTTTGAACTGCGGTATTTGATACGTATGATGGACGATCCTCGCAGTTAGAGCGCTGCGCTAGTATCGCAGAGGTCAGTGGTTCGAGTCCCGTACAGGCCTGATTTTTTTCAGGTCTGAATTTCGCTATTGCTCAAATAGCGCTATCTACTGCGAGGATCGTCCATCATACGTATCAAATACCGCAGTTCAAAATATATGATTTTCATATATTTATTCTATCTCATTTATCACTTTCACGGGTTCATTACGAATCAACTTAACGGCCTGCTCTCAGTTGGCTTGTTAGCTCAATTGGTTAGAGCGCTGCACTAGTATCGCAGAGGTCAGTGGTTCGAGTCCCGTACAGGCCTGATTTTTTTCAGGTCTGAATTTCGCTATTGCTCAAATAGCGCTATCTACTGCGAGGATCGTCCATCATACGTATCAAATACCGCAGTTCAAAATATATGATTTTCATATATTTATTCTATCTCATTTATCACTTTCACGGGTTCATTACGAATCAACTTAACGGCCTGCTCTCAGTTGGCTTGTTAGCTCAATTGGTTAGAGCGCTGCACTAGTATCGCAGAGGTCAGTGGTTCGAGTCCCGTACAGGCCTGATTTTTTTCAGGTCTGAATTTCGCTATTGCTCAAATAGCGCTATCTACTGCGAGGATCGTCCATCATACGTATCAAATACCGCAGTTCAAAATATATGATTTTCATATATTTATTCTATCTCATTTATCACTTTCACGGGTTCATTACGAATCAACTTAACGGCCTGCTCTCAGTTGGCTTGTTAGCTCAATTGGTTAGAGCGCTGCACTAGTATCGCAGAGGTCAGTGGTTCGAGTCCCGTACAGGCCTGATTTTTTTCAGGTCTGAATTTCGCTATTGCTCAAATAGCGCTATCTACTGCGAGGATCGTCCATCATNATTAGATGTTAGTCACTCTTAAGGGTCAAATGATTAATTCTTTAATTTTTTTGTTAGTTCGTTCCTGCTCCCGTAGTTTTCTTTCTTTCTTTTGCTGATTCGTTCGTCCGTTCGCGTTCTGAAACTACAAGCTGGGCAAGATAACCGTAGCCGCTGTTACCGAATTTGAGCCCGTGCTCCTGACCCGAATTCACTTTTCGGAGAGAAAGGAAGACGGGATTCGAGAGAGCGGTAGAAAGCAACCTGGTTTTTCGTTAGAAGAGTTCATATTGCTAATTATTTCTTTATATGGTACAATTCCATCGCCAATTTTCTTCATATTGCATAGAAAAAGTAATTACTTGTTATTTAACAGTTTATCTCACCAATTTGATCGCTTTCTCTCAGAGACTTCTAATATCCGGAGGAACTCTGCAGTGTTGTGGACATTTCTGCCAACAGTGCTAACATCTGGGGACTGTTACACGTAACTGTTTCCAGCCTCCAACAGGTGTTGAGTTGTTTATGCTAGAGTTCAAATTGGACTTGTAACTACATAGAAATGTTAAAAAAGATGTTTTTAAAAACATTTTCTCCAGATGAGGACAGACAAAAAAAAGTTCTTACCTGAAGCCTGATTTTCAGTGACACTTGACGAACTTCCCATTTCTGCCAACTCGTAAACAGAGAAATTTTCCGCCGAGAGATTTTCTTCACTCCCATGAATGGTATGATCCTGAAAAAGTGGCAACCGAGTACTAAGTAAGTGGCTACCTCAGACCTGCGCACCTCAAGGGCATTGAGTAATTCCGCGGCGTGAATAAGTAAACAGATCAACTTTCAATCGAGCGCTTAAAGTAACCCAAGACAACATTGGATTTGTTTTGCCTCACTTAGGTATTGAGACAAAAAACACGCTCAGTCGCAAAACCAAAACCAACCGTGACTTGCTTACTTGCGCTTTTTCGATACTGCGCTTCATGCAGTTTGCTTATAATGGATCAGTTAAGGGGTCCTTAGCTAAGGTTAATTTAAATACCTGGTAAAAAATAAAAATAAATAATAATAATAATAAATAACTCAGAAGTAGCCGGACCAACATCGTACAAGTACCACTGTCACTGAAACAGTGAAAGTTTTTAATAGGTAACCAATAAATAGAAAATACTTTAAGACACAACCAGCTTACCTCGCTAATGGACGGCTGAACTTCTTCTACTTAAGGAGAATGAAACAAATTTTTTGAGTTATCTGTAAGCTTGTTTATATAGAGTATTCTTAAAACTTCACTATTTTAATGTAAAACTTGAAAATAAACATTCTACTACCATGTAGCCTGAGCTGAGATAAATTCTTGCTTTGCCGTTTGAAAAGATGAAAAACAAAACAGTCAAAACGGTAACAGGATGGAAAACTGCGAGTGACCTGGCTACGATTGGTTTTCGAGGAATTGAACAGATAGCTTGAGTTTTCTCGGCCAATCACGGAAATCATTATTGAAGCTACACCGATGGAGTCCCTGAATACTTTCGAAATTAAATTCATAATTATGTTATTAACAAACCTTCCGCATTTTCGTCTCTCTCGGCTGCAACACGTCTGCAAAAAAAAAAAAAACAAAAACAAAAAACAAGTACATGGTGTCTCAATTTTGTCCAGAACTAGAATTGAAGAATTATTAAAAAAAACACGCACACTCAAATACTATGCATCTACTCCGACCCTAACGCAACATTAACCCTAACTTGTTATCAGTTAACTGTTGTTGAGTGAGTTAGGGGAGGGGTAAGTGTGCAGTTGCTTAGATACCGACATTAATCCTAAATACTTACACTAAATGACCCATCCGACGAGCAAGAAACAACAGCAGAACCGAGACAAGAATGACGAATAACCCCGCAAGGGTTCCCGGGATCACAGCTGTCACTATGATGGAGTCGATGGTGCGACTACGATGACTTGGGGTCGATTTTTTCTAGAAAATGGTAAAAATACAAAACCATCACCTATCATCGTAGAGGGGACTCTTCAACATTAGACTCGATGATAATGTAAATTAAAGCAGAATTAAGCTAAGTCTCATGATCTGTCGATGAAAAACTATATGAAATATAAAGAAAGAGGCAAGACCGATACAATGTAGATAAGTAAATTTTAAGACGGAGCACTATATTTCGGCTGGCCAAACCAGCCTTCTCAGGTGCAGCTAATTTGATTGACAATGAGATAACAAAAAAAATAGAAATAGTGAGCAAAAATAGAAATGAAGTAAGGTAAATTGGATAAATAACTAGAAACTAATACATTTCTTCGCGAGCGTTAAGGCCATCTGGATAAATAGTGTTGCCTCTTGAAATTAAAAAAGCTTCCCTGGCCTTGCGTATCAAGTCTCTCTTGGAAAACACTTTTTCGATTGCGATTAGCTCCATGTCGTGAGCAGAGTGGTTAGGAGAGGAAATGAAGTGTTCTGCCGTTGTAGTAGGTTTACATTTAGAGTTAGGTTTATTAGTTTCTAGTTATTTATCCAATTTACCTCACTTCATTTCTATTTTTGCTCACTATTTCTATTTTTATTGTTATCTCATTGTCAATCAAATTAGTTTTACATATTTCCGCTGTTACATCATACAGCTATCTATGAAGCATCACCCCAATTCTCTGTTAATTCCCACTGCACCTGAAGAAGGCTGGTTTGGCCAGCCGAAATATAATGCTCCGTCTTAAAATTTACTTATCTACGTTTTATCGGTCTTGCCTCTATATTTATATTTCATATTCGTTATTTTGGGCCGGTCAGATCATCGCTGATCCAACGTACAAGAGTAGGAGTATCGTCCACGGTTGCCTGCTGAACATTTCACAAAAAAAATATGTATGTCACTCCGGGAGTATTTTCTTCATTCTAAACTTTTCGATTTTATGTGGCGAATAAAACTGGAAAGAGGGAGATTTAGTCAGCGAGATAAACTCAAAAAGTGATTTGCATATAAGCTCCCCTGACAATACTGATTCATTATTCAATAAGAGTTTGGTAAGTTAAAAAAAAAAACACATGTCAGCCTTAGTATTGGGTGTTACTTATGTGAAATACGTATGTTTTTCGACGTATATTTGTTAAAATATCGCCAGCCACAAGGGAATCTTTGAAATTACATCTCTAGACTTTTGACATGTACAGGACAAGGTAGCTTTTTCTTTTTCATTTCTTTGACTGAAGTAAATGTGATATTCTCAGGCAAAATGCAAGTCTATCTTTTATAGCAAGAATTTTCGAGAAATTTATGATATTTTGGGTTTGAAATATCTCTAACATGTAAGCCTTCATCCAGAACGTCATATGTTGAGATTCTGCCACGAAATGTTGGGGTAAATTTAGTAATACTGCTTGGAGCTGGAAAAAATTAACCTCAAAAATTCTAAAAGGGCTACCTTACCTTTTTTTTGCTACGCAGAATTGGTACACCATTCATTCCAGTACTGTCACTTGCGTCAAAAATTGATTTAGGTGCAGAAATCATCTTAATCGTCTCCGTTTTAGAAATTGAAATCATTCGTCGAGACTCAACCCTCTCGTCGACAAATGGAGAAGAAGAAAAGTCAACTGTATGAGAAGTTAGTTTCGGCGAGAGTACAGTTTTGCGAAAAGAAGTAATCAAAGGCATTCCATTGACAGAGAGTGGAGCAACTTCTTCGAGAGCAGGTATGGCGGAGAGGGGTATAGTTTGGCTCGGTTTAAATGAGTGCTTTTCCTTAGCAACAGCTGATACTATGGACGTAGGGCTGACACTTTGAGTTGGTGTATATAAATAGAATTCCACTGGTAAGAGGTCATCATGAGTTTCAGGTGGCTTGAATGGAGAGGCATACACTGCTTGTGTTGGTGTGGAATGTGTCTCAAAAAATGAACCTACAGAAGGGAATAAAAAATGGCCAAGTCCATAAAGTAGATGTAAAGGGGACACTTTAGTTTAATCTGTTTACAATGTTGAATATGCAAAGCCAACTCAACTTACACCTTTCGGATCCTCTAAGCTTAAACAACAAACATGGTTTCCCAACAGGCGGAAGACACGTCAAACCAAGTTTTATAACACGGCCGTTGAGGAAAGTAGAGAAATTCGAACCGCCAACCTGAGAAACAAAATAGTGAAAATTAGGAAGGGTTAAGATTTGTATATGAAGCGTACAACGGTATCAACAAATGTGTCAAAAATAAATTTCACTCAGCTTTTCTTTTCTGGATTTTTTATCCATGTGGCCAAAAGTTGAAAAAATATAATCATATCCAAGTAAACCACAAAACTTTTTCTTCAGATCATGAATTTGCACGAAGAGACCGTGTTCCTTTTGGTAAACATGTTTAGATAGATATGATTGAAAAACCTCTCGCTAAAATAATTTCTTTCACAATGCTATTTTGTGATCAATGTGACATTTTCAGTGCAGAACTTCCGCAAGAACAAAATCATCGCAACCTCTTCGCAACTTTTTCTTAGTATAAACAGCCAGAATAGCTTCTATCCAAGTGTCATACCAATGACATTCTACGGTAGATGTCAAGGAGCTTACCTTTAAACTGTAACTGTCCGTGGACCCCTTGTGTAAACTTAATTTGTTCAACGCACTCATGTCATCGACTGGACGCCATTTTCCAAAGTCCAGGTACTCTGAAGTTGACGCATTAATATAACAGTCTCCACCTGGTAAAAATATCGCCTTTTCCTCGCCGTCCCGCAGAATTCTTATTGGGTCGTCATCACGCTCCATCGAAAAGAGAAATCTGCAGTCTGTTCAAAATTGATTAGTTTCACTAAGAATCACAACCTATCTATCACTCCTATGGGGAGGACGGGCGAAAAATGGAGAGGAAAAGGAAAGGACGAACTTAGAACAGTGTCATTTTATTAGCCC